CACAGTTAGGGAAGTGCAAATGTCAGAAAGCTTTAGGCCATTAAAAGTGCAGCCTGCTGAAGAGTGATGCCTTTAAAGACAGCTGATCAGTCACGTAGAAACAGAGGATGGACGGATTGTGTGCGTGTGTGTGTGCGCGTGCGTGAGAAGCCTTTTGCTCGGCTGACACTCGTCGCTGAGCTTTATCCTGTCGTGCGGCGTCCTGTGTGATGCAGAGGCCGCTATGAGCTGGCAGAATGAGTCATGCTGCAGATCCAGAGTGTGACTGCACCCACTGCCACTGTTCATGCACACACACATGTGCAGCGAGGACACAAACACACACTCACCGGAGGGCCGAGAGTCTGCACTTCCTCTCTCTCTGACTCTTGGCGCCGGCCTCTCTGCCCTCAGCTGATGAATGAGCACATCGGAGCTGCTGTCACTCCACTGTGCTGTTATTCAGTAGTCTGATTACAGTTACTACTCTTCAGTTCGCTGCACAGCGGGGAATCGAAGAGTAAAAGTAATTAGACCTTTTTTTTTTCCCTGAACACGTCTGATTTCTGTCCGTGTGGAGGAGAAACGACAGCAGGTCGCTTTGGAGAGGAGACTTTATTTACATTTTAATAAAACATAAAAGGAGCATCGCGGTAAAGATCACACAAAAACACTTCAGCTTCTGGTGCGAGGGGGAAAAATTCAGGATGGGCGCCACTAACTGACTAATCGTCGCTGTTGTCGCTCGTCGGTACCAGAATAAGAGTCGTTTAATCTCATTGTTAAAATTGGATGACCAACGGCAGCGAAGTGTTACGCAGCCTCCTGCCACCAGATGGAGCCGCGTCGTTGAGACTGCGCTTCATGTGTTTGGGAACATTATTACAATCAGATCGCAGATACGCGAGCGGTGGAAATGAGGTGGACGAGCTCTGCCGTGCTTTTTTTTTTTTTAACTTTATTTAACAAACAATGAGTATACAACATATGAACAGATGAAGTATACAAAACAACAGAACATAAACACAAAAAGCCAGGGGTAAAAGAAAAAAGTAACAATTATAAGAATACACGCAAAAATTCACATACATATATTGTTTTGAGAGCCTTTTCAGCTCTGCCGTGCGATACGGCGAGGAGTTAAGTTGTGGAGGCGGCCACATGGAAAGGCTGTCGTTCCCCTCCAGCTCGACTTCAGATGAGCGGAAGAAAACGCCTGAATGTTTTTTCATTCTGATGTTTTAGATTTGAACTTTTATTGAAGTTTTTGACCAGCGTGCATCGTTCATAATGCACGACGTTGTTCTTTTCGGACATTTTCCATTAAACGGTTGTTAAATTTCGCTTCGTATCTGAGAGTTTGTCCGTTTTAAATGAGTCTGTTAGTCTCGTTGTTCTTTTCCTTCATTTAGTCGATTAAGAAATTAGTCGTAGGACCATACCTAATTAAATTTGG